TTGCTCGGCACGATGAAGACATACTCTTTAGTTTTTTGGAGATGAATTTCTAAAACTTTGGTATTGTCATCAACAAGCGTAGTTGACCATGTGCATATTTTCCCACACTGATGATGAGGAAAAAATGTAAAATTTTACCAATTTTTTCGGGCGAAATTTCTTGTATTGTTTCTTTCCGTAGTGTTGTCGCGGGAATTGACGGAATTCCATGGAGAATCGGATGCGGTGTGACGAACACGGCAGTTATTACTACCGAAGGAAAGGTAGTAGTTGATGGGGATCGAACCTGGGACCTCTCGAGTGTTAGTATGGAAGCTTATCTGTTCGGTTATAATGGAATTGTATGAGTTTTTGATCAGTTGAATACGTGTAGTTGACGAGAATTGAACTCGGGACCTCTTGAGTGATAGCACAAAAGCTTATCTGCTTAGGCTACGGTGGAATGGTGTGTGTTGTTGATCAGTTGTATACGTGGGGGTGTGGCCAAGATGGGCAGCTAGCCCATGGGGTGGACGGCAGGTTGAACGCCTTAGTCCCGGCTCGTGCAGAGGGTCTTCCTGATGATAAGAAGGTTGTGTAAGTTTGAGGGTAGAGTTTGAGGAGTAGTTATGATGGAATTTATTAAGTAGCGAGGGATACTACCAATATTAGTAACAATGGAGTTTCACCACCCTAGTGATGCTACTGCATAACACCGCGAATATCGCGTTTTCCACGGAGTATTATATCACTTAACGTAAAATGGATGAAACTGCATTGTACGGTACAATTTGTACGCATTATCACTTATAGTGAACTCAGCATTAGCACTCAACGCTGGATACTGATGGCTATTTATGAATAGTGATGCAATATTTATGATGCACTTTACTATTTATGAATAGTGATAAATTCTGTCGATGTGATCCTTTTCATCCGCTCGATTTTGATGCAATCCTCGTGATAGAATTTTAGTAACATATCTGCTGATATGTTGTAATTTTAGTGACATGTCTGCTGATATGTTGTAATTTTAGTGACATGTTTGCTAATATGTTGTAATTTTAGTGACATATCTCTGGGAGAGTCCCATTCAGTAGCAGTACTTGAAGACGGCAGCGTATGGGCATGGGGGAAGAACAACCTCGGGCAGTGTGGCTGTGGAGTGCATGCCAAGTAGTAACTATGCGAGAAGTATGATTTTGATATACGATTTTTAAGAAGTTTTTTTTGGAATTTTCATCGACGATATAGGTTGTTTATGATTTCGTGCAATACTGTTGAGCGTGATTGAGAATTTTTCGCGAAAAAATTCCGTGAGAATTTCTAGAAAATGGGAGAAATTTTTGTGGGGAAATTTTTGTGTTGTTTTTTCTAAGAAACGAATTTGCGTCTATTGGTGGAGTCTGAATTTAGGATTTTTGGAAGCTGAGAAATGTAAAATTTTTCAATGTAGAGAAAAAATATTTCTCAGAATTCGAACGCTGGGTTCACCAGTTTTAAGCCCTTGACAACTCCATATTATTCTATTGTAGTTAATTCTCATTGGAGAGTCCACGTGTTTACGTTCATTAATCTCAGATGTGAGTTCACAATTGCAAATTAGTCTACCGAAGTTTTACGCGTTTTACGCGAAGTGAAATGTGAAATATGTTTTTCCACTAGTGTTTTTCATATCACAGCTGAAACTTTATTGGAAAGAAATTGTCATAAATTCATTAATGGAATGAATTTGATTTCATCGGTTTTCCGATTTCAGATCGAATGAGAATCTTTTCACAACTGGTAGAGAATTACCGAAGCCGTACCCCCCGGGAGAAGTGAAATTGCCGGCTGGAAAAGTAAGGAAAAATTTTCGGGCGAGGATTTCGTTTTTTTATGATATTTGGTATTATCTCACAAAATTTCGAGATGGTTTGTTACTGTGTTTAACAGTGTTGGAAAGTATGCACATGGTCAAATACGTGTGTTGGTGGCGATGTGAAAATTTTGCGGGAATTTTAGGAAATTCTTGTTGGTTTCTGTACACTTTTACCCAAATTCGTTCGATCAAAAAAATTTAGGAGAATTTCCCGAAATTTCCTGAAAATTTTCATATTGTGAGTGACAATTTGTTATTCCCACATGTAGTTGACCATGTGCATATCCTCGCATAGCGCGCAGAAAAAGTCAACTTACGTGGTGTTAATTGCATTTATTTTTTCTGTTTTTTTTTCATCAGAAAGTACTGAGTACCGCATCAGGAGCGAATCACACAGTAGGAGTGTGCAGT